TCTCCCTGCCTGCATGTGGTCTGAATGGATGAAGATCTCAAAAAACGTGTCTAACTAGAAAGGGAAAAAGCAGGGAGAGGACTAGATGTACAGAGACTGTGCAAGCATGAAAAAGCTGAGTAGATTCTCAATGGAGAGTATCAAGGAGCAGGTACACATCCCCTGCTCCTCAACTAAAGGATTGCAAAATGAATGAAACTTTGCTCTTTTTACGCTTCAAGAAAGTCTGAATTTTTCAAACCCTCTTATTTTCTTTTTCCAAGGGAAAAAATTCTGTATAGATCTGTATATTTACAGATTGAGTCTTCTTAGATTGTTTCTTATTTACAGGACTAGAGTCCACCTAGTGCCAGAAAAGGTACAACAGACAGATGTCATACACAGAGGACACTATCACCTAGAAAAGGCCCAGCTGATACACAAGATAGATGGAAAGATTAATTTACCATTTTTAAAAAGGATGGATGCAGCATGGCTTGTTTCAGCCTACTCAACATTCACCATTAATTCAAACAGAATATGGACACTAAATGGTACCAAGGAAGAGGTCCCACTGAAAGGTCTCTGAAGGGTTTTAACAGCAAGAGCTGTGCTGCCTGAAAACCCCCAGCTACCAGTTGTGTGTCTGACCTTCTAAGGAAACAATAAAGTAGACCAAGGAGGGGGAAAAACATCAGCTCCATGTCGATGCAGATGCTTCAGTGTGGGAGAAGGCTCCTTCAGCTGTCTAACACCATCTTAAACTTAGCTTACCCCTCTGCTTGACTGACTTGTCTTGTGTTTCTTTTTTCATACTAGTAAACGACAATTCATTTTGATCATGTTCCTCCCTGCGGAAAGGAATTCCTAACTAATTCCTATCTCCCTTTAAAATAAAGGGACAAATGAGAAAAACACAATTTTTTTTGCCCACAGAACGGCCATAGTGAAGTAGAAACAATGCAAGTACAAGATCACTTTTCTCACTTATTTTGTGCTGAGAAGTGTAAGGACTAAATGGGCTTAGAGTTTGTCTGGTTTTACAGCAGCTTTTAAGTTTTGCATCACCTGGCAAAATGTGGCCTTTTTCTATGGGGTTATTCAGTGAATCATTTAAATCCCTAATATGCAGAGAGCACTTCCAGAACATACGTAAATCAGTAGCATAAATCAGACATGATATTTGTCTGCTAGAGGGAATGGAAGAAACCAGCATCCAGAGCCAACACAGGCAAAATGACTCCATTAGGAACTGCTGTTGTTTATTCCCCCCAGATTTTATGGTCTGGCTGGCGAGTCTGACGCCGAGGAGGTCACCTCTGAGGGGTTAATCCTCCCAGAGGCCTTACGCAGGCACTGAGAAACAGTCTCAAAAGGAAACATTAAGGTATTTTTCTGTGGGGTGAGCAGCAAAGTGTGCAGGCACCTGCATATACAGCTTAATGTAATTGTATAAACTGAGGAACAAGGAAGAGACAAATTCTCAAGGTGTCTGTCCACAAAAATCATGCCTTAGTACCCTAGTTGGCTTTTTGTGGTGGTGGAGTTAGCAGCAGAATGGGAAGGATATCAATTTCTAAAATGAACTTTCTGAACACTGGAGGCCTATTCCAAGAAATTTCCCGAAGCAAGTAACAGGAATGCTCCAAAAATCTCAGCTTTTCCCTACAAATAAACTGTTTCCTTCAAGAAGAGGCACTATGGTTTCAGGTACATACTCCTTCAGTACATCTACACTGAGTCATCAGCTTGAAGTCTCCAGTGAAGTTCTCAGTGAAGTTCATTATTAACAATATATCTGACCTGGCAGCTCATAGATTCAATCCGTCCAGATTGCTTGGACAGCCTCAAGATTATCCAGCTGTAAATCGAAGTATTTTGAGGGTTTTGCTTTGTTTGGATGCATCTAGAGGTTACAAAAACAAAAGAGATGGTACTTCCAGGCTGCTTTATTGATTGCACAATAAGAACTAACCAAGCAAAGCATTTCTTGTTGTGATGCAGCCTGATCTGCCCATGCAGCATCCCATTAAAGTCAATGAGGGTTCACAAAGGAGCAGTTCCACCATCACTACAAAACAGTCACTGACAAAGAACAAAAGGAAAAGAAGTTTCTATAGGACCTGTTTCAAAATTCAGTGCTCACCATGCACAAGTCATCATGACAGACAAGAATGCTCAACGGCAGGCAGCACTGATCCCTACCTTGTCATTACTTCAGCTATATGAGGAAACAGCCAAGATGGAAAGAAGTCTCTCTGAAATAAAGGGTGTTATTTCAAATACAGACAATGCCTGTAAAGGATCAAAATAAAGAATATTTGGAAAAAATGAATGCTAAGAAAAATCTCAAAAGTTGATCAACATTTGACAGTCCCAGCACTGTTAGAAATTCTTCTCAAAGATTAATACACTTCATGGGTGAAAGGGAAAAGCTCTCTCCTTTTCCGTTCCAGCCAGCCTGTGAATAAATAATGCACTGAGCTTACATACCCTATGCAATATATGCTACAGGTAAAGATTATACGTGCTGGGACAGAATTGAGTGCTTAAATAAGTGGTTTGAGGGGTGATGAAGGACAATGAAAGATAGATGTGCAGTTTGGAAACAGGACAGTTATTTTGTTTGGACAGTCCATCCTAAAAGCTTTAGTACAAGCCTCCAGCACTCACATGGAAGATTAAAAAATGCCTATGCAGATACTTTAGGCATAAATTGATGATCATTGAAAGAGCTGAGCAGCCCGTCTCAGCAAACAAGATGTAAAATTAGCTTTCAGCTTCCTAAGGTTTTCAAACACAGAGATAAGGCAGAGTATGCGCTAGTTCTGCATGGTATTTTACAGGCAGCATCATGCACTCAGCAGAGAACTACCCAGCACTTTACAACAGCTGTCCTAGCCTGATTTCCCAAGAAGACCGCCTTTCTGAACGAGGCTAAACCACTCCATGCATGCCAGAGCCATCTGTAGCTCCGAAAAGAAGTAACTCTTCAGCTACTCTTGGAATGTTTCGTTGGATTTCCACACAAGAGACTCAATGAGGAGACAGGAGTTGGGATTGGTTTCTTTTTTGCTTGGGGGAGGGGAAGGGAGGAGGGTGCCTGCTTGTATTTCCCTTCCCCTCCGAGGAGCCCTGGCCTCCAGCAGCAGTTCCTGGGCTTATTCCTAGAATTTAGACAAGAGAAAAATATTGCACAAGGCTACACATGAGTGTATCAGAGATCACATGTGAACACTGTGTAAGGATATCTAGAAGTAGAAGGAGGAACTCTGTATTAAAACCAGTCATCGTTATTTACCAGGGAAAGGAAAGCTATAAGGAAGTTCAAATGTGCTAAGAATTCCAACAGCAGAAACGAAACCAGATTTTCTTGACAGCATAGTCATTATCAATGTCATTTCCACTATACTTTTATTGTAAAGTGCACATCATTATGTGCTACAGCCTTGAAGACTACCCTATTGAGGACTGAAAGCTGCTTTACACTACAGACCTCATCTGATTACATACCTGTTCATTTTACAGAGGTTCCCAATATTCCCCCAAAGCTTTGAATGGAAAGAGAGTTTCAGAAGTCCCACCATATCTCAGAAGTCCTCAGGAAGCTTCACTCTTAGTATGGATTCAAAGTCTGGCTTGCTCCTGTACTTTCTATTTCACCCTTCGACGTCTCTCAAGCAGGCTTTGCCTTTCAGCACCAATAGTTTTCTTTCAAAATACAAATCAACATTCCCACATCCTTGTAACAAGTATGCTTTCGGGTACAAGGCTGCACATTTAACGTCAGGACTTCGCCCCAGTTCCCTCTGAACACGTACTCCTGACTTGACTTCCTCTTTACAAAGGTTCTCACGCAACTGGGAAACATCAAGGCAAATCCTGCTGTTGCTGTGTGTTTAATTAAGAGCACCTGTCTGCAGCAGCTTGGCATCAGATTTACGCTGGTTTAACAGAACAAACCCTGACATCAGCATAATCAGGGTTCTAAGAAGCAGAGCACGGCATTTCTCAGTAGCCACAGGCAGGCTGAACCTGGCAGAGAGCCACAGAAATGAAAGTATTTCAAATGCAGAATTATCTGTCAAGAACTTAGAAGAGATACCCTTAACCAAAAGTTACTCAGGGTATTTAAGGGGACTACAGTAAATTAAACCAAGTTTGATCATTAAATTCTGCAAATTCCACTCTGCCCCAGGATCATCAGCCTTTCTGCAATTACTGTTTTCCTGCTGGAGGCTTTGACTGCACTGTGCTTCCTCATTTGCTATTTAATTTCTTCATGGAGCTAGATACTGCTTTTAGGAGACCAGATATTGAAGCTTCAAGTGCAAAAGAATCCCAGTTGGTACTAAAACATACAGCACCTTGAGTTTTGATGCCTCTTTCAAAAGAAGAATTCTCTTCACAGGTACAGCACACAAGTTCTCCCACAAATTATATCTGACAGGTTTAGTCATCATATTGAACACATCACTGAAGCTTAAACACTCCAAAAGACACATATTAACGTGATTTGATTTCTGAATGTCAGTCAATTCATAGCATGAGATGCACTGTGTCTGAGAGATATTGCAACACACAGGGTCTTCAAAAGATGACAAGCCAGGAGGTTAGCTGAAATTTCCACCATGGTCTAACATGATTGCTGTGGAGCAGTAGTTTATGGAGGGCAGCTCCAGAAGTGCCATTTTCATTCAGTGCAACCCAAAGCCCACATGACAGACAGCAGTAACTAACACACGGCAAGCAATTTCTATGACAGCGTTGCAGAGCAGGATTCACAGCGAAGTCTTGGAACATCAGACCTGGAGAATCCCAACCTAAATGCACACAGGTCCCTTAATCTGAATATTCCACTGCTTTCAGGTACTTACCTGCATCTAAATCTCAAGGTAACATTAGGAATTGAGTTTTAACTCAGTAAAGCAGGTGCTGGTGCTCTTGGTCTGCCTTTACATAAGACTTACAACTTGGGTGTTATGCAAATTTCTTGGACTTAACAGGCTTTGAGACAAGTATTTAGATATGGAACCCAACATACTTTATTATTTCCATCATCCAGCTATTTTAACAATTATTCCTCGTCAGCACAGACAAGGAAGCCATTTTCAGGTTTGAGAACAAAGAAATGAAATTACAGCAGTCTAATCTTGCTGGTGTACCAAATGAGAACACTCCCAGGAGAACAAGTCCAAGCGTCCTATCATCAGTCCTCCTTATATTGATCTTCAATGTAATCCCCCCCAGATTTACTATTTTCATGAAAAGGTAGATTAAAAAAGAAAAAACTGTATGCATAAAAAAAGTTACCCAAAGCACAGATTTTCAAGTTGCTTCACAGAAATGATAGAGACTATTAATGAAACCAATCAACAGCTCTGCTTCAGAACTCCACTGAGACAAAGTTAGGTTTTCCTACCATTTACTTATCAATGTGCTGCGCTGTACGATCTTAGCTTGTAATAGGAAAGCAAGGTAGGTCGCAAGATTACCCATTTCTTTGTTACTTTATCTGTACTCCAATGCAATCATCCTCTCGTCCCGAAGCCCTTGTAATTTATTATTCAAGGAAAACCACAGGCTACTGGTCCTAGTTAACAGAAAAAGTCTTTGTACTAAACTGAAAAAGAGAAGGTCAAAAAAGAGCTACTGAGAGACTTTCGGAAATGGATAAAACATTGCTTTGGACAAGAGAAACCACAGCATTTCACAACACAACAGCTGTAGTTGTGTCAACAACTAAAACCTGAATTTCCTTCAGCTTGGTCTTCAGATTACACTTAGGCCCAATGAATACACGCATTCAAAATAGTTTACAATCAAGCTCCAGCTTGAGCCTCTATCAATTTAAGGGGTAGGTGGACACCAGCTTCCCTCAGGCCCCACCATGCCACAGCCTGCTGGTTCACACGGTTTTGTTATCCAGCCTTCCAAGCAGCAAGGCAGGGTTTACAGGATTGAGTCCAATGAGATCAGAACAGGCTTATGGCAAGCCACAAAAACGTTCATTTCTGAGCTCTGCCCCATCCAGGCCCTGCTGCCCTACCTGCAATTCTGTAATGAGGAATGCTCACACAAATCTGATTACCTCTGCCCAGCTCTCCTTTTGAACAGTTATTTCGTGTACAGGGTTACCTGGTCCTTAAAGAGCTTTTAATAATCCCAACACCAAGCTTCCAACCAGGAGACTGATCATTTTCATTAAGACCCCCAAAAAATTGCAATGCGTTGGGAATGCTGATCAAAAGGATCTATCGCAGTGACATTCCCTAGCACAAAGCATTTGTAATCCAAAAGGAAGAGGCTTCCTGGCCAACCAGAGAACTGTATTGCAGACTTGGTATTAATTAGTCGCTGTCTGCAGCAGAATAATATTTGTAGTAATGGAATAAAACAGTTCAAGTAAGTCCCAGTAGCCAGAGCACAGGTGTATCCCCCACTAATGCCCACGCTAAGGAGAACACATTCATCAGCAGAAGGTACGTTCAAAAGAATAACACCCCTCTTGCTCTATTAACTTGGCTCAAGCTTCCTACAGTCACCTTAGTAACTGAAGAGACTAAATGATTAAATAGCAGCATGGGAGTCATGTCAAGACATGGTCCAGAAGATTGTTTTCTACCCTTTAAAATGGAGAATTCAAAAATAAGTTAAAGAGCCCACTCTGGAGCTCTTCTTTGTAGCCTTTGCCTTTAGGAAATGAAGACAAACCATCTCCAGAATGCACCATATCTAAGATGATCTTTAAGGCACAGTTTGCCATAGCTATGAAAACGGACATGTGAAAACAAAGTGTATTACAATATACTAGTGCAGCTGGGAAAACCTAATTGAATGTGAGGTTACAAGAGATGTAATGTCCCTTTTTCCTCTCCTCTTGCAGGGCTTCTCTCATTCCATTTGACCTCATGTTCCATCCCCAGAGGGATTACGTCAAGACTGGATCCCCAATGCCATGGTCTGGGTCGCAAGTGAAGGAGATGGTGATGGCATAGCGAGTGCCCCAGTGAACCTTCTCCACCCGATGAAGGTTCTCAGATCCAGAGGTGAAAAAGGAAACCCGGCCTGTAAAGACAAAGTATTTAATCAGTGACATGGAGTTTGCCACTCAGCAACCAGCTCTCTACACAGTTCTGCTGTTGTCTCAGTCCAGCTGTTCCCTAGCTACCTGAGAGCCCGTAAATCATCACAAACTGTTATGAGCTTACGCTGCACCCTGACAGCTTTATGTACTGTTTCAAACGCATTAATCCTTTGTGCCACAAAGCTGGAGACAGAATTCCACCATATCTCATAGTTTATAAAAGGCAAGAGGAAGCCAAGAATATCTGAAGCCAGTTCTTAGTTGCCTCACATTAAAAAAGGCAACTCTGGTGACTGCCAGCAAAGTGTGTTGATTTCCTCCCTCCTCCCCTTCTAGTCTGGGCTCTAACTTTAGACCAAAGAAGGAAGAAGTACTACGAAGGTGCCAAAAAGTCTTCAGTGAAAAAATCCTCAGCAGGTTTACAAGCAGCTGTGGCAGCTTCTCAGCACTGTACCACGTATTTGCTATAGCTTTTTGTGCACAGTCTGATCCCTCGCTATTCAGCCCGGTTAGAAAGTTAGGTATCGGTCATAGACAGATTACTGTTCCTTAGAAGGAGCCACCCCATCAACACATTGACTTGGAAATGGGTCTATAGATGCAAGACCTTACTCCTGTGCTTTCATCCTGTCTGAGCTTTGACCATAATCCTGCCTTGGGGTTCTCCAGGCCTTAAGTGGCATCAAGATGAAATGCAGTTACTTTGATAATGACAGCAGGCATGTATTAGCATCCCACTGATAAAACAGCAGAATGGAGCCCTCTTCACTTCCACATCATTAAAGTGTTCTGCAAATATAAAAGTTCGAGGTTTAGCAAGTAACTCAGAACTGATGCAACTCTGTAGGACTGCTCAAGTTCTCCTGAGAAAGCCAGTAATACTCATACACACACCTGTTTCATCCCCATAGTGTGTGATTTCCCTGCTCAGGCCTTTCATTCCACTGTTCAAATGAGATTACAGGTTGCTATAAAGCTTATCATAGGGAACATGACAGACTCTGCCTGAGACCTGTTCACAGGCAGGCAAAATGAAACACATGCCTACTTAAAATTTGCACAAGAAGAAGATAAACACAAACTCCCCTGCAGAAATGGATACCAGGCACATAACTGGTTTTCTCTTCTAGAAGTGACCCAAAGATCCAGAAGTTGCTTTGCTTGCATCCCCCTAAGCAACACATATAGGAGATCTGAACAAAACTAGACCAGCCTTATGGAGCTCAGTTTACCCACTGATCTCTGAAGTCTGTCTGAGCAGCCTCTGTGTCCCTTGCACATTCTGTTCCAGTTCACTTTTAATCTTTTATAGTTCAAAGAGTTGTTCATAACTGTCAAGCAGAAGTCATATCATACTCTGCCTGCGGCTGCACATCAATAGTGAGTAAAGCTATATATAATAATAATAAATTCATTCATATACACAGCTCATTTACACCTTGGTGTCCTGCTTTATTGGATGAAAGACTAAATGCAGACAACGTATTCCTACCCTCTGAGTGTTGAATGAACAGTGCTGCCCTCAAGGATTTTATGCAAGTCCCTGTGTCATGTTTCGCGGCAATCAGGTATTATTATTAGTCCCTCACCTACTCACCAAAAGCTTTGCCTTAAACTGATTTTCAAGTTTTATTTGACCTGTTATTAGCAGTAGTAATTCAGAGCTAGGCAAGTTTCAGTGTATGGTTTAAGCCAGTTAACCGGAGGTTTTTGGCTATACAAAAATGTCTTGATTCCTTTCTTTAATAAATATGTCTTCATATATATGGTGTCTCATAGCTCCTTGTGCATCTGGTCCTATGTGTCAACTGGGGTCTCCAAGAAGCCTACAATCAGTTTCCAAAGGTAAATTCTTCCCAAGCGAGGAAAAAGTCTTTTAAACCTACTTCCTTTGCAAGACTCGCAAGCAAAAGCATACCCTTTCCCTGGTACACTATTCTTAATAGTGTAAACGTTAAAACATCAATAAATATAGGGCAGTATCGTTACCCAGAGACTTCTGGGGAAAAACACAAGATAAAATAAAGCTGGCCTATTACCAGGTAGGATGGCTCCCAGGCTTTCAAGCACACCTTGAAGGCTGCACCCCGTTGTAATTTTGCTTCAATACATAGTACATGGAAACCACTTCAGAGATTAAACCACAACGAGAAAGCAAGGAGGCCACAACCAAGCAAGTTCCTTCAGAAGGTGTGGGCCTACTCCTACATTATAACCTGTCCTTGCTTAGCTATTTCTTGATCCATTCTGAATTAAGACTTTTAACCCCTGCAGTTCCAAGCTATGAACCATATTAGCAAGATGGTATGATCACATGTAACATAGATTGGGTTTCAGCTAGGAGCTTGCATTCAAACTATTTCAAGTGCACTTCCTAAAGTGTTACACACTGCCACAACTAAGACAGCTGTGACAGGGCTTCTCCTTGTGAAGGAGAGGAAGACGTGCATAGGGAAGTTCCCCTAAGCTCTCCAGACTATGAAACACTGATAGAGTGAATGCCGAGCTTCGTAAGAGATAACCATTGTACTACAAGTGCTAAAGAATGACTATGCCACTATTCATTGCAGGTAAATGTACATCTGTACCTACCATTTCCTGATGAAACATTTTTGAGCAACAAAAGGTCAGGAGAAAGTGTGTAAAATTCTAAATCTCACTTCCTTTGTCCTTTTCTTTCATTGAACAATGGCCTCAGATCTGTCTTTTCTCCCCTACTCTGACCTGCCTGCATGGATTTCTTTCCAACATGCTTTTCTGCCCCACAAAAGAAATCTTGACTACTACCTCCCGGAACATAACTGCAGTTTGATTTATGAACACTTACTGCTAAAAGTGTAAGCTTTCTGGAGATCACAAGCTACCACTCAATACAATGTTATAGTGTATTATCTAACCAAAAAAGAGAAAGTGTGGTCCTTAAGGGATGAACTTTTGGAGAGCAAGAAACAACAATGGGATCATCTCCTGTTCTGAGGTCAGTGCCTCAAAGCTTTCAGAAATAAGCCAATCTCTGAGCTATGTTCTGAAGAATGAAGATTAGAATGGAGGTGTCATGGGGTTAGAAGTGATGCCAAGGGTGAAAGCCAAATGATTTTTTCTCCACTGAGATAAATCTATAGTCTGAAAAGTATTTCATCCTGACTGTGAACCTCTGACGCATTCTTCCTTATCACAGCAAGATGCCAAAACCTCCTTTCTTGCTTCTTTAGTTTTGTGATACTTTGTACCATCTCCTCCTTCACCTCTATTTCCCATTCCACAAGAAGTCAATCAGGCAGAGCATACCACAGCAATCAGTGCAGCACACCAAGGCATTTAGTACTTTTAATGCTTAGACATACAGCCCCGTATTAGATAAAACTCACATTTTGTACACCCTTCTATTGATTGTATCTCCTACTTCCTGCCCACAAACACTTACAACTCCTTTATAGCTGTTCCCAACTGGCTTCACCATTTCCATCAGGTTGTTTAATAACCAGGACTGAGCTATACTCTGGCCTAGTTTCCACGGAAGAGTGCAACAACGGACTGGAGGAAGTTCCCCCAAAACAAACACACTTGTTCTTGCCTTTTGTATTTGGAGAGCAAAAAGCCAAAGAATTAGAAAGATCTGTGGTAGCCTCAAGACCAGCAAGAACTTCTTTCTAAATGATTAGCTTGCCTGCATAACTCCATGGGAATAGAGGTAATCAATCCCTGCCTTTGATCTCTATTTGACAATACCCACAATTACAGCTCATTTTCTCTTCCTTTCCATGTTTTCTCTCTTTCCAGCATTAAGTGCTAGAAAGCGTGTTTCAAGACAGATTTAGCCCAATAAAGGTTTAGCTGATGAGCTCCTTGCAGATTGCAGTAAGTGTTAGCATGAAGTTGCTCCCCTTTCTAGGTCACGGATATGCCTCCAGCGCTGCTTCTGTACTAAGAGCAGTCAAGAGTTAACCATGAGTGGAGCTGCTTCTCAGTCCCTTCTTTCTGTGGCCCTTGGGCATCCACACAAGTTTTAAAGGCTTCGAATAAGCACAGAATAAATTGTACTGGGGATAGAAGATTCAGGTGCAAACCCATTTAAATACATGACCCTCTCACAGAGACCTGGGACAAGGAACCTGCAGCAAGCTCAGCACCACAGCATCCATCAAAATTGAGTCTGGTCTTTGGTGTCACTGACACAATTCAAATTCTTAACACACTGTCAAGCTTCTGCTGTGAAAAGCAGGAAAGGTTTTTGCTCCTCTTACAGGAAGCAAGACCTTAATCGTATCAGAGGTAACCACTTATTCTCCTGATGTTTTGAGGCTCCATTTTTGCACAGGTCCACAGGAATCATTATTTATGAAGACACAGAAATGCCAGTTACAAGCTCCACTGCTATGAATTTTGATGTCATTTAAATGAGGTAACACTTATTTTCCAGACTAATGCTTCACAGGCAGCAAAAGCAACAGCTGTGTCACTATGCAGCTATTATATCCCATTTAATTACTCCAACAAAACTACTAGAGAAACATATTTGTTAATTGTGAGCTTTTGCTTTTCTTTACTTTTGCACTCCCAGGTTTTAATCACATTCATACTGCCCCTTCTTTTTAGATGTACTCACAAAATAACCACGGCAGGAAGCAGCATACAGGTGGGAAAGAGTTATATATGCATACATTATAGCGAAAACATCAGTATTCTCACAAAGCTGGATCTCAGGAGATGTTATCACTGCTGAATTTTAACATTCAGTTGCACTTCCATAAAAAGCAGCCTACAATTTGCTCTGTAACCCCTGCACTGAGGGGCTCTACAGGTTGGAGGAATATACCAAGGAAACAATTTTCAATTACAACTATGCCCTGGGCACGTAACTGGCTTCAGCAAAACCACTTAGACTGATTTGTTTGCTTGTCTCAAACAAAGGCAATACTGACCTATTCTAACGTAGTTAATGTGAAAATTAATTAGCAAGCACCACTACAATCCTTTGCAGTTAATGCACGTTCTGTTTTACAAGTATTAGAAAAAATATCCTCTGCTGTTCTTATTCTGGCAAGAGAAAGAGTAGTAAGGCACGACACTAAACTGTAACAAGATGTAGGGAGTGCATGGAAGGACTTTGAGAACCATCATATTAACATACCACAGTGCTCTTACAAATTACCACAAGATTATAGTGCCTCTAATATTACAAGTTCCTTGCATAACTTCGGTTGGAAGAGACCTTGGCAGGTCATCGGGTCCAATCCCCTTTCCCAAATCAAGGCCAATTTCTAAATTATATCCAACTCCTGAGTCCCATCAGGTTGCTCGGGGTCATATCATCAGCACAGAGGAGCGCAGCATTCAAAGGCTGACATTTCCCCAGGTATGCCTCAGGCACACATATTTTGCTGCCCCCATGTCTCCTGTGCTTGGTTTTGACCAGTGACTTCCAGAGGTCCTTTCCAGCCTCAATGACTCTGATGACACGTGGAACAGGCCAGTCACGTTCATACCAACTTTGGCAATCATTTTCTGCTTGCAGCATTCCCGTTTTGCCACTGGATCCCAATCTCCTTTCATGATCCCACCCTTCACATCAGACTACCCTTTCTGCTTTCTTGGCAGCATCCTTCTAGTTTAATCCACTGCCAAATTTCCTTGTTAACTCTTTGGGTCATGAGAACATCAAGGAGAAACTGCAAATTGTGTTAAGACTGTCTCAGCCAACATAACTGTCCCCTCATGCTTGTCCTTGGTCTGCTTAAACTGAGGCTGAAGACCAGGGAAGGGAGGAGCTACCCCTGTCTGATGCCCCTGACAGGGAAGGGACACAAAGCAGGGCTGGAGGGGGTGTAAGAAGTCTCACCTCCATTCACTGTCCATGGCAGCTGGCTGGGGGCACTGCAAAGACTGAGCTGTTGCTCACAAGGAAATGAAGCAACTCATCCGCCTGATTAAAGGGAAGCAGGAACAGTTTATTTGGAACTACAGATCTATTCAACATCTTTCATCTTAGGCACTGACAGCTTTGACTGCCTGCTTAACATTTATCAGCTCTAAATGTTACTCGGGAAAGCAGGAAAAACTGCATCTCATCTGCTGAGTGACACCAAGACAGAAGCACTGCCGGGGAAACTGCACAAACAAAACCGTGTTCTCATCCTTGTCATCTGTCAAGGATTAACTACTAATTCATTCTCATGGAAAGCATCCAAAAAAAACACCCTACAATTAGGCAAATAATCTGATAATATTTTCTGTAATCACTCAATAAAACTTATAACAGCAATACTTATTCAGTTACTTATAAATAAATGTTGAATGAGGAATGCTTTAAGCAAGTCCTTACCAAAACCCCACATGGAATGACAGCATCTGTGAGTGCCTGATCTGGGATGAAGAGAGGGTGACAGAAGAGAGGGCTCAAGCTTCTCTAAACCATTCTGCTACATAGATGCTTCTGTGCTTGGCATAAAGAAGCCTACGGCCTAAAATAAGCCAAAAACCATGTATGTAATGAAGCCTAGTTACAAGCCTCTTCCAAATTTATTTACTAGACAGAGTCACTTGTTATAAATGAAATCACTGACCCACCCTCTCCCACAGGCAGCTCATCATCTGTGGATTAACAACAGTTTCCAAATGACTTGCTTTTATTTGAAATCCAGAAGCACCTGGACTGAAATTCCAAATCAGTTTTTAAAGAAAATAAGTGACCTTAATTCTTTCCTACTAAAAGTACATGAGCATTTTTAGACTTGAACAGAACCCCTGCCTGCTCCTCTCCTATC